CTGAGAAAGCAACAGAAGATGACCAAAGTATCTCTGCCACCCACAAGAGAGACCTGGATGGAATTCTAGACTCCTGGGTTATGCCTGGCCCAACCCCATCTGTTGTGGACATTGGGGAGTGTACCAGAGGATGGAAGATCTCTCTCTCTCTTGTGTGTGCGTGTGTGTCATTCTGCCATTCAAATAAAATGCAATGAATCTATAGAAGGAAAAAGAAAGAGCTGTTGGTAGAGCATTGAGCCAGGCAGGAGGTGCACAGAAGCCTGCAGCCTGCATAGAGACCCTAGCAAGCAGTTACCCACCTTGAATCCACAGGTATCTGCCTCCTCGCACCAGGCTTCTGCTCACAAAGTGGACATACAACCCAAGAGTCTGTATGTGTGTATCCCTCCTTCTCATTTAATTTTCAAAAATTACAGACTTAAAAATGGAAAGAATAGTATGCACCAAATGTTCACATTTTGTCAAATTTGCTTTTCCTCATTCTCCCCTCTCTCATCTCTGTATAAACATATGCATATTCTCAGAAATATGCATGGACATCAACAGTTGTCCCTCAGTACTCACAGAGTGGGGGGATTCCAGGGTTCCAGGACTCCCAGCAGATACCAAAATCCAAAGATGCTTCTGTTGCTTACAGGAAATGCCATCATGTTTGTGGAGAACCTACACATATCCTTGGGTAGACTCCAGATCATCTCTAGATGACTTATAATGCCTAACACAGTGTAAACTATGGAAATAGTTCATAGGTAAATGCTATGTAAATCATTGGAACTTTGTACTGTTTAGAGAATGACAAGAAAAGGAAGTGTGCACATATTTGGTACAGACGCAATGTTTGTGGCAGATATTTTTGATGTGCAGTGGGCTCATTCCATGGCTGCAGAAGTGTGGATACAAAGAGGTCAAGTGTACCTGCACCTGTACCTGTCCATTTACAGGCTTCCCCCAACACTTGGAAGTCATAGACATCACGAGCTTTATCCAACACATGTATGCATGCATTCTTAATAGATTGGGAGAAAAAGCACGCTACATGCTTGCTCCAGAAATGAATCTCCAAGCACTGAAAAGAAGTACAAATTTTACTGTAGAGTATGTTTGGATACTTGGACACTGGATTCTCCCAGAAGAGATTAAGCCATTTCTTCTTGCTGTTCTCACCTTATTCCCAGAAGCCTTTAGGCAACTGTCTCAGTTCTGAGTCAGGCAGCACAGCCATCAGATGAAAAAAACAAGGTGGCAGGTGTTGAATATTAATGAAGCCAAATAGTTACACCTACCACTGAGTCACCTCCAGTGTCTAAAGTGAATTCCTAAAAACCCACACACGTTTTAGGCCATCATATACAACAAAGTCATAGGAAAATAAATATTTACATCAAAATTAAGATAGAGAATACTTTAAATTCAAAATTAAAGCAATATTTTTTAAAAAAGCTTTTTTGAGCTGGTACTGTGGCTCAGCCTGCAGCACCAGCATCCCATATGGGCACCAGTTCATGTCCCGGTTGCTCCACTTCCAACTCAGCTCCCTGCTAATAATGCACCTGGGAATGTAGCAAAGGGTGGCCCAAGTGCCTGGGCCCATGCACCCACAAGGGAGACCTGGATGAGGCTCCTGGCTCCTGGCTTTGGCCTGGTCCAGCTCTGGCTGTTATAGCCATTTGGGGAGTAAACCAGCCAATGGAATCTCTCTCTCTCTCTTTCTCCCTCTCTCCCTCCCTCCCTCTCTCACTCTCTATAACTCTACCCTTCAAATAAACAAATAAGTCTTTTAAAAAAAAAAAAAAACCTTTTTAAACTATGTCTCAGGAAATCACAGAATTTTAAGAGCTTGGGCAATAGGGAAGATCAGATACAGAGAAGTAGATGAGCAGGTGTGAAAGCAGCTTTTGCTGATTAAAAACTACAGGTTCAAAGCAGAGCCCTTCGTAGGCTACCCACAAACTACTTCTGTTCTATAAAAAAGAGAAACGCTCGTCCTCCCTAGCCAGGGTTAAGGAAACTCTGCCTCCGAGCGACATGGCGGGGCTGTTTCTGTCTGCACGGCTGGGTCCTGACTGCTGGTGGTGCCATTGGCACTGGTCTCCTGTTCCCTCAGGGGACCTGAGGAGACAAAATCACTCGCTGGAGGCCATGGCCCAGGAAGACCTTCCTTGGCAGGACCAGGGATTGGTCCACACTGGACTGAACCGAGAGGGGCAGAGGGGAGAACCAAGTTACAGCTCCCCTGAGGGCCATCCACCTCTCTCTTTTACTCTCTGCCATCAAATATCCTTTCTCTTTAAAACCAGCCTTTCCCAGCTGGCGCCGCGGCTCACTAGGCTAATCCTCCGCCTGCAGCGCCGGCACACCGGGTTCTAGTCCCGGTCGGGGCACCGGATTCTGTCCCGGTTGCCCCTCTTCCAGGCCAGCTCTCTGCTGTGGCCCGGGAGTGCAGTGGAGGATGGCCCAAGTCCTTGGGCCCTGCACCCCATGGGAGACCAGGACAAGTACCTGGCTCCTGCCATCGGATCAGCACGGTGGCAGCCATTGGAGGGTGAACCAACGGCAAAGGAAGACCTTTCTCTCTGTCTCTCTCACTGTCCACTCTGCCTGTCAAAAAAAAAAAAAAAAAAACTAGCCTTTCCCTTGCCAAGCTTTCTGGACTTGACCAACTTCTGACCCAAGTACCATCAACACAGAGACACTTCAATAAATCAACCCAAGTCCTAGGGCCTTCATTCAAATTCTCTCTTCACGTCAGCCTGGGTCTCACACACACACACACACGCATACACGCACACCCATAGTCTGAACCACAGCTTCCTTCACTTTCCTCTCACGCCAGCCCCTCCCCAGGCTGACCCCCAACAAGCCACTCCCCAAACCCAGAAGAGTCACCATCCTCCCCAAAAGCAAATGATGAGGAAGCTCTGGGTGTCTACAGGGGCAAATCACTAGGGTTCACGCTCTCCCAGCCTCTTATCTGTGCACCAGCGACTGCTGCCCTATGCAACTCCGGGGGACAGAACTCAGGAGCCTGGCAGAGCATAGCAGCATCCCCATTATAAACATGAGCAATAGAACCAGGTACAGAGAGGAAGTTGCCCAAGGCCACAAAGATGGCGGGATGATAATGTAGGATGTATGGCCAGTCTGTGCAATCCCCAGACCCAATACTCACTGACTGTTTGGTAGCTGGAAGGGGATCTGGAAACCATTAGCTTTGGCTGTCCATCCAGTCTTCCCAAGCCCAGTGTCCCGTATTGATGGTCAAGGTTATCCCCTCACAAGATGACCACTTCTAGTATTGGGAAGTGTCCATGATCTGAAACTCTTCTGTCATTTTGGAGCCCAAATTTGCCTTCCCTCAAAGCTGTGCTGCTTAGTACAATTCCACCCTCCAGGGCAGCTCAGAAGAAGCCTGTGTGCACCTGCCGGGGCCTTGAGAGTCAATCTACATGGAGGAGCAGAGTGGAAAGTACAGCAGAATAAATGTGCTTCCTGCCATGCCAGGAAGCTGGCATGCTGGCTGTGGCTAGGCTATAAACCTGTCTGAGGATTGGCCTGCTCATCTGAAAAATGGACACAACTTCATATATACTCCCAAGGATTGGATGGTGTATGATGTGTAAACAGCCCAGCACAGTGCTAGCAGGGACAGTGTGCTGACCAAGAAGTAGCTCTTCTCAGCCTTGTACAGGAGCAGAGCCAGGCACCCAGGTACCCAGGGAGGTAAGTCACTTGCTGAAGCACACACAGCCATAAGATCTGAGTGACAAGTCAGGGCTTCTACTCTCAACATTCTGCAGTTCTTGCTAAGGGTCCACTGCAGTCTAAGAACTTTCTAGCATCGTAGTCAATCACTTGTTTAACACCACTCAGTCTACAAGAAATGTGGAACCAGTAAATTCAAGTATATATACACATGTTATAGAATTATGTTTAGCAGAGCCGGCGCTGTGGCGCAGCAGGTTAACACCCTGGCCTGAAGCATTGGCGGTTCTAGTCCCGCTGCTCCACTTCCAATCCAGCTCTCTGCTATGGCCTGGGAAAACAATAGAAGATGGCCCAAGTCCATGGGCCCCTGCACCCACCTGGGAGACCCGGAAGAAGCTCCTGGCTTCTGGCTTAGGATCCGTGCAGTTCCAGCCATTGCGGCCAATTGGGGAGTGAACCAGTGGATGGAAGACCTTTCTCTCTCTCTCTCTCTCTCTCTCTCTCTCTCTCTCTCTCTCTCTCTTTCTGCTTCTCCTCTCTATGTGTAACTCTGACTCTCAAGCAAAAAATAAAAAAAAAGAAATATGTTTAGCATAGCACACACAATCATAAGTACACACTCACACATACTGTTCAGGAATTCGAAGGTTTCTCATGCTGTCATTGAGACTGGCACCTTAGTAACAAAGTCTCTAAGCACACAAAACTAAAGGATGGAGTTAGGCTGTGCCTCTTCTCCACCTTTGAAGAGTTGTGTAACCACAGACTCTGTGTACAACCACAGGGCCACTTATTCAAACTGGGCCACAGTTTTTTTCGTGTCTAAAATACAAAGGGTGGCATGATGAGAGCTCCCGGGTCCCTTCCAGGGGTAAAAGCCCCCAGATTCTAAGTCAATCTGAATTTGAGTTTAGGCCTCCATCCTGGACACATTTCAATTTCTAAGGCGTCAAGTCAGGGGCTTAACCTGACAACATTGATTCAAATCAGCTCACTTGCTGAAGGTCCCATAACCAGCAAACAGCAGAGACAAGACTGCATTCCCAGGTTCTCCTGATTATTGGAGATCTAGCTACGCTGGGCTGCCCACTGGACAATGTATACCCAGTGGACACTCTGCTGGCAAACGTTGCTTTCCACCTCCTATAATCCAAGTGCAGGAAACAACCCAAATGTTGGCATCATCAGCCATCGGGAATATCTGCTCATCTCAAATATAATGCAGAGAGAAGAAACAAGGACAGGCAGAGTTGGCACAAGGCCTGGCACAAGGGTTTGTCTCTTTTACTCACCAAAGAAGTTTGGAGGCTTCCTTCCAAAGCTCTTTCTCTTTTTTTGTCTGAATGTGGCTAGTTTTTCAGAGTAGTAGGCTGTATTCTGCAAAGATGGCCACAGCCCTATCTCTTATCCCACATGGTCTCCTATAACATGGCTGTGACGCTCTGCCAATAAGAGGTGGAGTCCAACTCACCTCCCTTGCTCGTGGGCTGGCCTACAGTAAACAGAATGCAGCAAAAGTGATGTCGTCTGAATTCTGAAGCTAGGTCAGACAAACCCATGCAGCTGTCCCCTGGTTTCTTTGCGATGTTCAACCTGCTGGGGCCAGCCACCATGGAAAGTGGCCAACTATGTTGAGACCACCTACTGGGGAGGCCACATGTAGGGGGCTCTGGTCAATGGATCCAGCTACACACAGCCTCTGGTAAGACCCCTCCAAAAGACCATCCACATCCTTTCTGGGTTCTTCTACCACTGTACCCCCAGGACAGGGGAAGAACAATCCCTTCTCAGAAAAGAGGGAAGGAAGTGGACACAATGTGGAAGAAGTTCCTTCCCAGTAGAAAGGGAAGTAAAAGAAAAAAAAAAAGCATTTTGAGCTCCAGGGTTAACGGAGAGAAAGCTGCAAGAGGGAGACAGCTAGTTCTGCTTCCAATCGTGGTTCAAAACCCGAGAGCAAAGGGACAAAAGGTAGAAGAGAGGGAAGCTAAGAGCAGGGGAATGTTTGCTGTTTCCAAAATGGATCTCTGGAGGGATCCCACCTTGGTAAGGCAAGAGTTCTCACGTGGATGGGAAATCCCAGTAAGGACGGAAGTGATGGGAGCAAGTAAGGTAGAAGAGATGCTAGTTTGTTCCCTGGGAGTCTCCCTGATGTGGCCAGGTGCAGGTTCCCCTGCAGGGGGGAGTGGGAGGCCACTTGGGATCTGGACTGAGAGGGGAGTGCTATGATCAGTGACAGTGACCTAGAGCCAAGGCCATAGGGTGTCTGATCGTAAGAAACAGCGTGGTCAAATGAGGAAGTGCTGCCTTATTTGTAAATAAATAATCAGTCTGCGAAGGCCCTGAGCTCTCCACCCTCTGTTCCCTTGGTGCTCCCTAGAGCTCCTTAGGAGCCAGCAAGAGATGCTGCTGCATCCAGTCTGGCTGCTTGGTGCTCCTGTCCTACTGGCTTGAGTACCACCTGGACCATTCGACCCTGGGAAGAAGCAAGGTCATGGTCAAGAGGCAGAGGACCTGTGGAGCCAGCCAGAGGCACAGTGAGGCCAAGTCAACCAGAGCACTGGTGCTGGTGCAGCTGACACAGCAGGCTACAGGCTTCCCCAGTCACAGCCCCCAGTGGGAGATTCAGCAGAGCAGCCTGTGACCAGGCAGGTGCACAATCATCTCCACGGAATCTAACAGGGCCCCCAAGGTTAGCACGTATGGCTTAGCCACCCTCTCCACTATTCCCTGGGTACACAGCACCCCGCTCCATGGCTCAGATACCCTCCTGGCTAAAAGAATGGGCCAGATAAGAAACTGGAAGCCTGAGCATCTACCCAGAACAAACTAGATGAATCCAAGAAAGGTAGATTGGAGCCAACAAAGACGGAATTATATGCAGTGGCAGGGTTAATTCCTCTCCCTTAGCCAAAAGGGGCCTCGGGAACCCAAGGAGATTCCTAGCAGAAAAGTTTGTAAAGGTACCTATTTGGGCATTGATGTGTAGTAACTACAAATTTTTACCATGCTCTACATTAGAAATAACTCTTCACACAACTGTTAGGATATCAGGACAGATGAGATTTTCACTGGATGCTTGAATGACCATTTTCCACCTCTGGGGGTCACCAAGGGCAGTAGCCATGCCAAGCTCTGTGTCCAGGGTATCCATGAGAAAAGGCAGAAGCCAACCACAACAACAACCACACACACACACACACACACACACAATCCAAGCAATTCTTTTTGATACTATGTGGGGAAGTCCCTCACCACAAGAAAAGCCTACCCTTACCCTGAAGACATTTACTGGATTTTCCACAAGTCTAACCACTCCACCCCACCCTACCCCTGCCGAGAGCTCAACCCTGGAACTGTGGGCAAGGCTTCCCGTCACACACTCAGCCCCTGAGACACCTCTGGGCTTCCAGATACCTCAGTAGCTTGTTCTTGGTGGGGGAGAACAGCTTCATGAAGAGGGTGATCTGAAACCCTGAAAGCCTCCACCCCCACCCATCTAACTGAGCAACCCTGTGTGGCAGGGACAGCACACGTAGGCCCCATCCACACCTGTCACCTCACTTTTCTACACTGGGGGACACAAAGGATTTCACTTCCCAGCACCCTTTAAGCCAGGCATGTCCCGTGCCTGGAAGGGACAAGTGTCTTTTCCACACCAACCCATTTGTTGCCAGTGTTTTGTTTAAGGAAAATGCTGGTACAGCAGTACTCAGCCACCCCCCACAGTGCACTGAGACCCAGTTTCCTCTGTGCCTCCACTCACTTCCTCCTGTTAACATCTGTTTCTCCTGTTAAACAGGAATAAGCCCCCCTCCCAGCACTCAAACAAAACAGCATGGGTCTCGCAGATGGACCCTGTAAATTCTATTCTGAAAAATTTGCAGGGCTCTAGAGTTGCTATGAGAAACCGTCAGAGCTAACTCAGTTGACTAATGATGACAGTGGAGGGTGAGCAAGGAATAAGCCAGTGAGGCCTTGTGCTAGTGAGATGCTCCAGGATATGGCTGCAGTGAGACCTGCACTGGAATGCGCAGCCGTTAGAGAATGATGAGGCTCTCATGCTGGTTTTCTACCACACACTCAGCAACTTAAAATGACCCCCTTGTTAGCTTGCATTGCTACAGATCAGATGCCTGGGCTCAGCTTAGCTGGAGTCTCTGCCCGTGGTCCCACAAGGCTGGGATCAAAGTGCTTTCCAGAGCTCGGGATCCTGTCCCAGGCTAACACGGGTGTGGTGATTGTAAGACTGAGGTCCCCACTTTTCATGCTGACCATCAGCTCCTAGAAGCCACTCATTGTTTCCTGGGCAGGAAAGGCCCTCGCCACAACAGCACAGTCTCTCTCTTCAAAGCACACAGCACACTATCTGCTCCACATCTCCCAGATCCCTTGACACTAACCTCCACACCCTCTTATCAAGAGCCAGGCCACTTATGGCAGAGCCACGCTCCACGGGCCTGGAGTGCATGATATTCCATTTTGCTAACTGCCAGACATTTTTGTGGGGTTTCATCAGTATCCACGTCTTCCTACTAACCATGTGAGTCACATTAGTGTCTTGTCCCTTCCATAGCTTCTCCGATTGCTATCACTGGGACACTTACAGAATGATGTTTCACAGTTCCAATTTGAAATATTCTAGTTTGGGGGTTTAGCGTTTTTAAGTTTTATTTTCTTTTTATTGACATAACACTGGTACCTTTGTATAGGGTACAGTGTGAAGTTTCAATACATATAGACACTGCCTAGTGATCAAATCAGCGTAATTTCCAGATCCATCACTACAAACAACTAGCGTTTCTGGGTGATGAGAACATTCAAAATTCTCTATTCTTTTTTAAATATTGATTGATTGATTTGAAAGAGTTATGGGGAGAGAGAGAGAAAGAGAGAGACAGCTAGAGGTAGAGGTAGAGCTAGAGCTAGAGAAAGAAATCTTCCATCCACTGGTTCACTCCCCAGATGGCCACAATAGCCAGGGCTGAGCCAGGCTGAAGCCAGGAGCCAGGAGCTTCTTCCAGGTCTCCCAAGTGGGCTGCAGAGGCCCAAGTGGTTCAGTCATCCTCCGCTGCTTTTCCCAGGCCATTAACAGGGAGTTAGATTAGAAGTGGAGAAGCCAGGGCCGGCGCCACGGCTCAATAGGCTGATCCTCTGCCTGCGGTGCCGGCACACGGAGTTCTAGTCCTGGTCAGGGCACCGGATTCTGTCCTGGTCACTCCTCTTCCAGGCCAGCTCTCTGCTGTGGCCCAGAAGTGCAGTGGAGGATGTCCCAAGTCCTTGGGCCCTGCACCCACGTGGGAGACCAAGAGAAGCACCTGGCTCCTGCCATCGGATCAGCGTGGTGTGCCGGCTGCAGCGTGCCAGCCGCAGGGGTCACTGGGGGGTTTTCCAACGGAAAAGGAAGACCTTTCTCTCTGTCTCTCTCTCTCACTGTCTACTCAAAAAAAAAAAAAAAAAAAAAAAAAAAAAAAAAAGGAAGTGGAGAAGCCAGGATACAAATCAGCTCCCATATGGGACACCAGCCTCTCAGGCAGCAGCTTTAGCCTCTACACCACAATGCCAGCCTCCCAAAATTCACTCTTCTGTTTTAAAGTATATGAGGGTACTCCAAAACATTCATAGAAAAATAGAATTAAGGGGCCGGTGTTGTGGCTCAGTGGGTTAAGCCTCCTCCTGCAACACTGGCATCCTATATGAGAGCAGGTTCCAGTTCCAGCTGCTCCACTTCTGATCCAGCTCCCTGCTAATGTGCCTAACCTCTACTACCTACATGGGAGACCCGATGGAGTTTCAGTCTCCTGGCTTCAGCCTGGCCCTGCCCAGCCAGCCATTGCACCTTGCGACCATTTAGGGAATGAACCAGCAAATGGAATCTCTCTCTCTCTCTCTCTCTCTCTCTCTCTCTTTCTCTCTCTGTGTCACTCTGCCTTTCAAATAAATAAATAATTTTTAGAGAAACAGAATTAAAGCATAAGTTTAGTGCAAAAAATCTTGATATCCATGCATAGGTTTTGATAATATGCATTTCCATTAACTCTTGGAAGACCCTTCATACAGTATTGTTAGCTATAGTCACTCTACCATGCACCAGAACTCGTTCCTCCTCTATAACAATAACTTTGTGCCCATTGATTAACATTTCCTCATTAAATTGCATGCATTTCCTTCTGATTGTTGTATTTCATAATACTTTTTTTAAAATTAACTTCAAGTCAATCATCTGGGGACCTAAATGACACCTGCAAAGTCCCCTCATCTCAGCCATATTAGGAAATGTAACCATGGGTGTGATATCACATCTATTCACACAACACAGCCTCATTCAAGGGAAGGGGATTATACAAGGGCGTGAATCAGTGGGAGTCACCTTAGAATTCTGCTTACCACAGACACTTAAGAAAACATTGTAATGAATATTAGCTCCTGAAAACTTGGGACTCGCCCAAGTATTACATTTGCTTCCTTGCTCCCGCATAAGACCTCTTCCCAAGTGTTCTAAAGCCTGGCTGCTCAAAGCTGGTCCCTGGACCAACTATCGGAACAGCACTCAGGAGAAATGCAGACTTCACACCGCTCCTGAGTCCTAGGAAATCGTGACCATCTGCTTACTCACGAGACTCCCAGGTGATGTGAGAAACGATGATCTCAAAGGTTCTTTTCCTGAGACACCCACCCCCACCCCCGCCGGAAGCTTGCCACTGGGCACAGCACCTGCTCCTAGCTCCAAAGGAAGTGGTTCTCCCAGTGTGCTCTCCAGACCAGCAACATCCCAACACCCCCTCCTGGGAATGCGTGAGAAAGGCGTATCTTCTGCCACCCTCTCCACCACAGCTACTGAATCAGAAACTCTGGGTGGACCCAGCCCTCTAGGTTTGTCTAAGCCCAGCAGGTAATTCTGATGCAGGCTCAAGGTTGAGAACCACTGGCCAGAGGCACTGTCAAGTTCAAGTGACCCCCCCGACATGGAAAGCCGATGAGGACAGCAGAAAGAGGCAACCAAAGTCTCAATTACTCTCAGCCCTACACCTGTGTGGACTTCGCCTGTGCTGACTTCAAAGCAGCACTGCTCTGCTGCCTGGGGAGAGGGGGGGCAGGTTGTTGGGGATCACTTAAGCTCCAGGTGCCAATCACTGGGCTTTGGAGACTGAGGCAGAAATGGGGGCATTGAGAGGAAGGGCTGCTGGCAGGGCTGGGCAGGGGGCTCCCAGGCCGAGATCACATGGGTCAGAGACTATCCTTATAGATCCCTTGACTGTTATGGTGAGAACTAGAGAGGCTAAAACGGAAAAAGCAAACAGCCAAGACTTTCCATGAGGTTTGCGGGAAGGCGCCCCCTGCTGCTTGTGCAGGGGAGAGCCGCCCCCTGAGCTCTGGAAAGGAAGCCCCCCTACCCCATCCCGCCCCACCCCCCCACCTCCCGAGGGGGCCAGGCAAAGGGACAGTTTGGAGGATGAGACACGGAGCACATCCCACCACAGACATTTAGCTCCGAGGAGTCAGGGCACCCGACTGCCTCAGTTTACACCCAGATCGTACTACGTTAGGAGGAGCTGGCAGGCAGGGGTAGCGGAATCCTGAGAGAGCTGAGGCTCTAGGGAAGCGGAAAATCCTCCAAAGGGGAATGGGACTCAGGAGACGGGTCTTCAAACGGCAAGCACACATGTGCGGCACCTGCTTTGTGTCAGGCGCTCTTCCACGTGCTGGTTACAAAGATCATCTCCATCAAGACCGATATTTGCAGACAGGGAAACTGAGGCACGGAGTAGGTGAATTGTGTAACATCAGACAGCTACTGAGAGCCCAAGCTGGACCTTGACCCCAGGTCATTGCTTCCCAGGGACACACACTCCTCCAGTTCTCTACCTTCTGCCACCTCGCAGGTGAGCACTGGTGCTCAGCCATCACTGAGGACTCAGGCACCTGAGCATTTAAAAAACAACAACAGCAACAACAACAAAAACCAACACCCTACACCAGAAAGCCCCTGAATCTTCTAAGAGAGGAAGCTTCAATTTTTGGTGCACGTCTCAGCTGGCAGCCTCTTGGGAGGGGGACACTGACCAATCACCACTCGGATTCACCTACAATCCTAGAAGGTCCTCAGGAACCTTCTCATCCAGCACCTTGTTAACAGTTAGAGACACCGAAACCCAGAAAGGTCAAGGTATGCCCAAGGTCACCTTCCCCCAGGGGAAGAAGGTCACGGGCATGACAGGTGTGGCACCTGAGGTCTGGAGAAATGAGAGTTGCCTGAGGATCCATCAGAAACTGACCCAGGTGTCCTGGCTACCAAATCTCCTCCACCCCCTCAAAAGCCTCTTACCTGCAGCTCTGCATTCTTTCACCTTGTTGCTTCTCACCTGGGGAAGGCTGCCAGCCCAAACTTTCCCCTTCAGTGGAAGCTCAGCGGTCGGGGAAGGGATTTATATCCTCATGGGCAGGCTGTGTCACCCGCTCCTCTCCGACTGGGTAGCTGTGGACACACCTTTTTCCTGCTCACAGCGAAGAAGCGCCCTGGGGCTGGTACGTGATCACCAAAGGGGAAGTGCAGGAGGCAACTCTTTGTAAGTTTCCCTATTTTTTGTGACTCGTTCAAAATCTCATGCATCCAGCTGAGAGGTGGTTTTCAAGGGTTGGGTATTTATCACCCAACTGATGAGAGAAAGAGTTGGTTTTCCTCCCAAAATGAAGCTGAGACGTAAGAAAACAACGTTAAAGGTTAAAGGTGAAACCTTTTTATGTTGTTTGGCTTGGATTTCAGTCTTGTGGGCTCCTTTTACATGCCAAAGGAAGGAAAGGTCTGAGTTTCTTATTCTTCCACTTTGTGGGGGCTGCCTTTGTGTTATAAGGTGGAAACGGGGCATTCACTTATTTGTACATAATCCTACGTCTCCCCCAGCTCCCCTGCCAGCCACTGCTGTCGGTGGCTCCTTGCTTCTAAAGTTAGAGAGCAGAGCCCAGACAGGCAAGCCAGACCTAGGGGAGCCTCAGAGGCTTCCCAGAGCTGGCCTGGTGCCTGCAAGCTGGGTTGTGCACAGGGTCAGCTTTGGTCCTGTGTCTCAACACCCCCCACCTCAGATTCACATCCACACTGGCCTGGATGAGAGTTCAAAGGTCCAGAGTTCTGCTTCAGATGAGCAAGATAAGGACCTGGTCACGACCTTCCCTGGAAGGGAAGTTCTTAGGGCTTGAATCCTCTGGGCTGATAAGTACTGCATGGCAGTCTCCCTGTGTGTTGCGCCCCGACGCAAGGTTTAGGCAGAAACGGGATTTGATTTGGTTAGTTTTGTGGATGGAAAAGAAGAATGTTTTCCCAATGTAATTTACAATTTGTCATTGATCTTTTTTTCAGATTTATTTTTATTTATTTGAAAGACAAGGTTACCCAGAGAGAGAGAGAGGCAGAAACAGAGAGAAAAAGATCTTCCATCTGCTGGCTTACTCTCCAAATGGTCACAATGGCCTAGACCGGGCCAGGAAGAAGCCAGGGAGGGGCTAGGAATTCCATCCAGGTCTCCCATGTGGATGGCAGGGGCTCAAGCACTTGGGCCACCTTCCACTGCTTTCCCAGGCCATAGCAGAGAGCTGGATTGGAGGCAGAGCAGCAGGGACTCCAACAAGCTCTCCAAAATGGGATGCCATTGTCACAGGCAGAAGTTTAATTTCCTACACTACAATGCCAGCCCCCAAGCTATTCATCTTGATGACACTTTCTGCCTAATTCATTAAGACCTTCATGTTCATATAGGTGAAAAAGCAGGTATAGAAAATCCTTTAAGATTTCATTTTTTATGGCTGAGTAGTATTTCATCACCTATATATACCACAGTTTATCCAGTCATCAGTTGATGGACATCTGAATTGATTCCAAATCTTAGCTATTGTTAGTTGAGCTGCTATAAACATGGGGGTACAGATAATTCTTTCAAATGCTGACTTAATTCCTTTGAGTAAACTCCCAGGAGTGGATCGCCTGGGTGATATGGTAGATCTATTTCCAGGCTTCTGAAGAATCTCCATACTGACTTCCATAATGGTTGTTCTAATTTACACTCCCATCAACAGTACATTAAGGTACCTTTTTCCCTACATCCTTTCCAGCATTTGTGTTGTTTTGTTTTTTTTTTTTAATTTTTGGGTGATAGTTATTCTAACACGAGAGGTGAAGCCTCCTTGTGGTTTTTATTTGCATTCCTCTGATACTGGTGATCCTGAGCGTCTTTTCATGTGTCTCCTAGCCATTTGCATTTCATCCTTTGAAAAATGCCTGTTCATGTTCTTAGCCCATTTCTTTCCTGGATTGCTTCCTTTGTTGTTGTTGAGTTTCTTGAGCTCCTTATATATCCTGGATATTAATCTTTTATCAGATACATAATTTGCAAATATTTTCTTTTTTCATATTTTTATTTGAAAGGCAGAGTTACACGCACAGAGAGAGAGAGAGAGAGAGAAAGAGAGAGAGAGAGAGAGGAGAAACAAGGAAAGGTTTCCCACCTGCTAATTCACTCCCCAAATGATTGCAATGGCCAGGGCTGTGCTAGGCCAAATCCAGGAGCTAGGAGAGTCTTCTGGGTTTCCCATGTGGATGCAAGGGCCAAAGTGCTTGGGCCATCCCTCTCTGCTTTCCCAGGTGCATTAGCAGGGAGCTGTATTGGAAGTGGAGCAGCCAGGACTCGAACTGTTGCCTGTATGGGATTCTGGCACTGCAGTCAACAGCCCAACCCACTATGCCACAGTGCTGGCCCCAAATATTTTCTCCCATTCTGCTGGTTTCTCTACTTTGCTTAGTGTTTCCTTTGTTGTACAGTAGCCTCTTAGCTTAATGAAATCCCATTTGTCTATTTTTGCCTTCATTGCCTGTGTTTCTAGAGTCTTATCCAAGAAGTCTTTGCCTATATCAATGGCTTGCAATGTTTCCCCTATGTTTTCCTCTAGTAATTTGATGGTTTCAGGTCTTAGATTTAGAGCTCTGATCCATTGTGAGTTGATTTTTTGAATAGGGTATAAGGTAGGGGTCTTGTTTCATACTTCTGCATGCAGAGATCCTATTTTCCAGCCCGATTTTTTGAAGAGACTGTACATTCTCCAGGGAGTGATTTTAACTGTTTTGTCAAAGATTGGTTGGTTGTAGATGTGTGGATTAATTTCTGGGATCTCTAGTCTGTTCCATGGTTGACATGTCTGTTTTGCCAGTTCCAAGCTGTTTTGATTATAACTGCCAAGTAGTACGTCTTGAAATCAGGTATTGTGATACCTCCAGCTTTATTTTTATTGTTTAATATTGCTTTAGTTATTCAGGGTCTCTTGTGATTCCCTATGAATTTTAGAGTCATTTTTCCCCAGCTCTGAGGAGAATGCCTTTGGTATTTTGAGTAGAATTGCATTGTTCTTTACAACAAAATAGGTGCAAATGGAGACAATTATGCTTAGTGAAATAAGCCAAAGAGACAAACATTGTATGTTTTCCCTGATTTGTGGTAACAACATACAGAGAACAAAAAAAGTAATTGGTATGCATGAAATCGACATTTTGAGATTTGATTATTGTTTATACGCCTTGTCTATACTCTTGAGGATCACTGGTTTTTCTACTTAGTACTTGTTGGATTCTTTATTTAGTGGAGACATAAAGACAGTATGTCAGTGTAAAAATTAAAAGAAAAATAAGAAAGAGGGAGGGAGTGTGGGAAGTGAGGAGGGAGCGAGAGTAGGGTGGGAAGTATCGTTATGCTCTTAAAACTGTATATATGAAATACATGAAATTGGTTCCATTTATATAAATTTTAAAAAGTAAAAAGAAATTAAAATAAGAAAAAAACAAAATAAACAAAAAAAAGTCTTTCAGAGAAGTCTCAGGAATTCCATACTCAGAACAAATGGCTCAGAATCCAAAGGCTCTAGTGGCCCTAGTTTTACTCTTTTGCTGACAAAGAAGGTAACACTTGAAGGTCAAAACTCAGATTGGGTAAGCAAAATACAAGAAAAATACAGTGGTAGATGGAAACTTAGAGACGATCAAACCCATCCCACAGTCTGAAGAACAAAGTGAGGTCCAGGCATTTGAGGGGGTCTCAGGTGACTAAACTGCTAATTTCACGCACATACAACCTCGCGGTGGGCAGTGTTCTCACGGTGGGCAGTGTTCTGGGAATAGCCTGGTGTGGAAGTTGTTATATCCATGTTTATTCTTTTTCCAAAGATCAGTTGAGGAAGCAATATTTGTTTTTATTCCATATTTGATGTGGTAAAATTAAAGAATGAGCTATAAAGCGGTGAGTGGAGTCAAATAAGTTTTAAGGTTGTACATTCACCCCAACAGGAAGATCTCCCTAAATACCATCATTATCCCAGAATAAAGAACATGCAAATGACTGAGTTCTCACCGTGCTCTGTCTGTGGTTAACCAAACGCATCACTCCCAGCTGACCTGCCTTGTTGGGGACCCCATTCACTAAATGACATAGGCAGCCCACAGCTTAACATAGCCGAAGAGAGGAAGAAAAACTCTGCCTTTGGCCATGCTCAAGTATTATTGCTGATCTTGTGATCTAGAAAGAGGAATTTACGTAACCTCACTTTTTTCTCTATGGGAAAATGTAGTCAGAGAGCCACATGAATTGCTTCAATGGCCCAGTCAAGAATGAATGTTCGAACCCAACAGTTGCCCGACGTAAGTCCCCAAACCTGGCATAGAGCTCACAAGCAATGGCTACTTTTTCTGCATCAGCCCATCTGCATTCATAGCCTACACTATGGTGGCCCCACCATCAGCAGCATCCTCACTTGGATTTCCCCACCAGTTGATGGGAAGTGAACAAGGTACAGAATGTTCTGTCATATCTCAAAATCCTCCCAGGATGTTTGTTGCAAAGACTGGGGCAATGTTTCTTCACTTCTTAGACCTAGCTGTTCTTTCCAAAGTCTGGCCTAGTTCAGAGGTCAGCAGCATCCTCTAAAAACCCTCGTGGCAAGGTTCTGCTCCCCACCTTCCTTCCATGGGATGTGTGGGCCAGGAGGTGCAATGAGGAGGGATGGGAGCTTAAGGAGAGGAAAAGAATGTATGCTGGCTGCTGTGCTGTGTGTCATAACAGGGTCTGTTTGTCCCCAGTCATGTAGGACAGGCTCATTTCCAAATACTCTACCTTAATATCCCCAGACATCACTCATTCTTATCAGAGAACAGATCTCCATCAACGTGATTCCAGAACACATGGTCATGAAATCCATAAGATAAATTATCATGAAGCCCCGTAAAACTGACAATTAAGGCTTTCCCTGAGCAGCTGGATAATAACAGAAGTTAAGTCTACCTCTGACTTACAATGGCATGAGAAAGAACATTCCTTTCTCATTAATAATTTGAAATTAATGACTAAAAAGGATTACAGTGGCTGCAGATGGGCTTCAGCCTCTTCAGTTGGGGGAAAGAGGAGTTTGTGATGGGTTCCCATTGCTACTGCACCACACTGCCTCTCACAGGTGTCAATCCTGTGTTCTCTTGCAGTGCCAGAGGACTATGGTCTGACATGCGGCCCACGGGGTTGAAATCAAGTTGTGGGCAGTGCAGAGCTGTTCCTGGAGGTTTCAGAGGGACAATCCATTCCCTTGCTTTCCCCAGCTTCTAGAAGCTTCCTCATTCTTTGTGGATCCTACAGCATCACTTGCCGCCTCTTTTGACTATCTAGTCTCCCTCCTACAAGGGCCCTGATATTACAATCAGAGTCCATGAAGGTAACCCAAGTACCAAGTCCTGGGTAAGACTTTGGTTTACTGTATCCCAAAGACCCATATGTGAAAGGTTTGGTCCAGAAAGTCTATGTTAATGGTACCAAAAGTGGAAACTTAATTTGATTATGCTGTTTGGAGGTGGAGCCTTTGGGAGATGATGGGATTGGGTTGGGTCATTGGGGTTAAGCCGCTTGATTAAATCCTGACGGCTTAACCCTAATGAGACTACATGGACATAGACAGCAAAGGAGCTTTTTCTTGCCAGTGAGGCTCTGAGCTTCCAGCAAATATACCACCACCAGCAGCAGCTAACCCAATGGGACCTGCCCAATCTTGGACTGTGAACCTCCAAAACAATAGCCAAGGTAAGCTCTTTTTAAAATTGGTTACCTCAAGTATTTCATTGTAGTAACTAAACACTGGCTGACACACCAGGGTAAATGTTCCACCTTGAAATCCTGAATCATCTCATCCACAAGGTCCTCTTTGCTGTATAAGGTAGCACGTTCACATATTCAGGAAATTAGGATGAGGACACCTTTGGGCTTCGTATTCAACTCGAAGATCCAACTCTCACAGTTTGTGCTTTAGGATTCTTTAACAAAACCATGAGAAAATGACTCTGTGGGTGGGAATACCACGGTTCCTTTCAGACCTAGCCCAGGTTGTCTAGAAGGGGGAGACAGCAGGCATAGAGCTTTAGAAGCATACAGGATGTTATTTCATTTCAATTCAGAAAACAAAATCTACTCTTTATGGCAGAAGACTTTTTCTGTTGCTGCCTTTCCTCTGGCTTCCTTCTCCGCATCTCAAGCTTCTAGAAGAGAAACTGGAAAGGATGAGAATTCTGGGGAATCCACCCATAACCTGACCACCACTGTCCACTCTCCCTCCAACCCACCCTCCACAGGATCCAGAACACGATGGCAGAGAAGTTAGGACCCGGCCCGTTTCCGTGCCTACTTTCTCCCACGGGTGCCCAGGCCCAATCCGGCACCCAACACTCCAAGTTCTCTATTCTCCTGCTCTTCCATCCACACAACCAAGCCTTCCCCCTGACTTGGAGCTCAGACGGCTCCAGATCAGCACCATGGGCTCGCATCTGAGGCCTGCTGTCTCCCTTGCATGTGTCGAAACCTAAATAACAAATATTCTCCAAAGACAATGAATTTATTTAGGAATGGATTTGCAAAGGCAGTGTGCATGCAACAGTAGACAATGTGCATATTCAAGGAGCGCCAGGCAAGGGCAAGTTTTTCAAGGCAAAACGAGGAGGATTATATATGTTTGAGACAATCGTCCTTAGCTACGAGGATTAATAACGAGCGCAGCATTAGTCAAGGATTAAATGGGAAGTTGTCAGGCAAACATCTTTGCAGAAGTGTTTTTAGGGCAAGGTTGTTGTGGCCTTTCACCTTTGTGCAGGGTTGTGGTTTGGGCAGAGTCTTTTGGGGTAGTTCAATTATGGGGCATGTGTGTGTGAGATGCCTTCCTTTGCAATCTCTTTGCTTTATTATTATCCTTTTTAGGGTTTGACAAAGGTGACTCCATTTTGATCCTAAAAATCTTCACACATAGGGTGGAAGCCCCTGCGTTCTTAGCCTCGCCCTTCTGCCTTCCTGGGGAGAAAGAAACTGACCTCCAAGGGCACTGATGGGCCCCATCAGGAGGTGGGCCCTCACTCTCTGTTCTGGGGGACAGATGGGAAAAGATTTCCAGGGAAGGAAATTTGACTTGCCTTCTGTCAGTGAGCCACACAATGGTTATTCCTCCTCTAGGAGCTAGCAACACCACACCAATCCTCCTCCCAGATAAGCAGATCCATTTTTCCCACCACCAGTCCCAGTTGCTTTCAGATCTGCTCCAAAATGACAGAGAAGATCCCAAATCCTGATGATCACACAGACACAGTCCAGTCACCCTCACATGCAGCACCTTTGTTCCAACAGCTGACACGGTGCTTGGATGGAAGCAAAACTCCAGTCTGGAATTATAGGAGCCATCATTCCCATGGCATCCATGACCTACAGGGCTCATCATTATGAGAGCTGATGCTAGATTTATCCCTACCATGCTCAGCAGAAAGAGGTAGAAGGAAAACTATAGGACAGCAACTATTAGATCCCAACCAGTGCCTAATGTTAGCCAATCCCCAACACCCCCCAAGCTGACTACAGCTACCCCCAGCCCATCCTCCAACATTTCCCTTCCCTCCCCTCAATGACCTACTACCAAGGACCCCTACCAGTGGTTCTGATCCAGCTTCTGCTGGTAGGAAGTACAAATAGCTGATTGTTAGAATTGACTTTTGACTCATAATAAAGGTGGTACCAGAGAAAGGGGGCAGGGAGAGATCTACCCTGTACCTTGCAGTTCCCAGATGTGTGGAGGTGCATGCTGTGTTGGGGTGGAGTTGGGGAACAGCATAAGCATTGTGTGTGCTTGTTTTGTTTTTAAGATTTATTTTATTTGAAAGACAGTTACAGAGAGAGGTGGAGACAGATAGCTTCCATCCACTGATTCACTTCCCAGGTAGCCATAACAGCCAGAGCTGTGCCAATCCGAAGCCAGGAGCGAGGAGCTTCTTCAGGGTCTCCCACATGGGTGCAGGGGCCCAGGGACTTGAGCCATCTTCTACTGCTTTCTCAGGCCATAGCAGGGAGCTGGATAGGAAGAGGAGCAGCCGGGACTAGAACCGGCGCCCATATGGGATGCCAGCACTGCAGGCCAGGGCTTTAACCTGCTGCACCACAGCACCGGCCCCGTGTGCTTGTTTGTAAGGAACTGCTGCCCTTCACTCCAGCTCCCCTCAGAGCCATGCCCAGCCCCCACCCCCACCACTGCCTAGCCCGTAATTGCTGCTTCCACCTGGCGCTGAAGAAGGGAGACTCCAGTCACTACAGCTGTGCAGGTCTCTGTACAGTAAAATTTAAAGAGCTGTCTGTCCCTAAGCAGAGTGACAGGCTTCAGGCTCTATTGTTCGTTATGTTTTGAAAACAGATGCTTTAGGGCTCAACTCTCATATGCATAACTCATCTGGAAATGAAACCTCAAGTCTCCACCCACAGCCTTTTGGGAGGGGTCTTGGTCAAAGGGCCTTTCTCACACACACCTCCAGCCCCTGCCCACTCCCGCTGTCCTGTCCCCAGCTCCCATATCATCTTCCAGCTTCCAGAACTTTTTTTTTTTTTGGCATTAAATCCTCTACTTTCTAATAATCTGTCAGTACCACGCTGGACATTTTGCTTGGTTCAGCTGACATCCGAGCCCCACACTTCTGAAAAGCATTTGATGGTGCCTGAATCAGCCCACAGGGCCCGACAGCAACACTTCCTTCTCAGCATGGGCCGTGTTACATAAAACAACAGCTTCATGGAAGCCCCACCTGTGCACTGGGACATGCTAGCCCAGCTGTCAGGCACGCCAGCGTCATGCAGGGAGTGAAGCTTTGATTCGTCATCTTTGTCACACTCATCTACCCCGAGGCAGGTCACCACGGGCAGGCTCAGCAGCCCTTGGCTGCTGGAGTGATGGCCACACAGGGGAATCCGTGCCTGTCTGGTGTGCTGGCCTGGGCTGGCACAGCAGCTCTCCCAGGAAATGACACTGGGCATGGTCACCCCATGGAGCTGCTTCACCCAACACTGCTGACTCTAACACTGCTGCCCGTGGGCACGTGCTGTTGCAGACACCCTTGCTCCATGGAGTGTAGGGGAAAGACCCCCCCACACCCAGAGTGAAACAGGAGGGTAGGTGGCCAGGCTCCCTCTCCTGGCACAGGGCAGACTGGCAGGGTCTAGAGATGAGGGCAGTTACACACCACTGCCTATTGATGGACTAGCCATTGTATGTGTTTTCTTTTTTAATCTTTATTTGAAAGGTAGAGACACCTGGAGATAGAGAAGTCCCATTGACTGGTTCACTCCTAAAATGGACCAGGCCAAAGCCAGAGGCCAGGAACTCAAACCCCATCTCCCACGTGGGCGACAGAGACCCACCTACCTGAGCCATCCTCTGCTGCCTCCCAGGTGTGCATGAGCAGGAAACTGAAGGCCACAGCAGAGCTGGGACTTGAACTTGAACCAAGACCATCTAGTTTGGAATGTGGACATCGCAAGTGGTATCTTAACCACAGCACCCATACCCATCCCCAAGAGAAAGACTTCTAACGGGATCTGTAAGGCATATTGTTTCGTTTTTTTTTTTATTTATTTATTTTTGACAGGCAGAGTTAGACAGTGAGAGAGAGAGAGAGTTAGAAAGAAAGGTCTTCTTTTTCCATTGGTTCACCCCACAATGGCCACCGCAGCTGGCGCACCGCGCTGATTCGAAGCCAGGAGCCAGGTGCCTCTCCTGGTCTCCCATGCGGGTGCAGGGCCCAAGCACCTGGGCCGTCCTCCACTGTGCTCCCGGGCCACAGCAGAGAGCTGGACTGGAAGAGGAGCAACCGGGACAGAACCCGGTGCCCTGACCGGAACTAGAACCCGGCATGCCAGCGCCGCAGGTGGAGGATTAGACTATTGAGCCGCAGCGCCGGCCAGGCATATTGTTTTAATGTCTGTCCAGCTCAGAGCCAACAATTCCCCATTGTTCTGCCGAATACCCTGTGTTAACCATGTCTTTGCTTTTCTGTATCCTAAAGCTTTGATACGTGGGGTCTTGCTGACCCTGGAGGGACTGCCCTCCCCAGAACTAGACTCTTCTGAGAGGAGCAAACAACTCACCCACATGCAAACTTCTTAGACCAACCCACCTGGAGCCCACAGCCCAGCCACCTCCTCTAAAGGGGCTCTCACATCCTGGGCCACCAGCCCCTGCCTTTATCATCCTAGGTCAGGCACCCCGAGCCCCAGGGTCACCTCTACGTCCACAGCCCAGATATTATTCCAACCAGCCTATGCTAAGCCTGCCCGCCCTGCCTCACCTCTTATTTGCTTCAAAACCACAATAAAGGCAGTGTCCCTGATCCTCCTCCTCCCAACCCAGCCCCCAGCTTCACCTTGGGCCCTCAGCAGCCCTCACAGCCTCTCAGGGACCTGTGACTATAACCGACCTATTCCTCAATGGCAGCCACCCTCAGATCTGTCAGCTTTGCCACACCTCACCGATTTAACAATCCCTGCATTACAGGACCCTCCCTCCCAAAGTCCCGGGAATGTTTGCGTCCCAGGGGCTGACCCCTACATTCGGCTTCTCATCATGTCCTTTTTCTTAGGAATTTTAATTTGCGCCACAGGACAGAAGTTGTTCCCTTTCAGGTGCTAGACATCAATCATGTAAGGTCAAGAGCTGAGGGGCCACCATGTCCCACTGGGAGCCAGCAGGGTCACAATTCGAAGAGCTAAGAGCAAGGGAGACCCAGAGG